CACCTTCCCTGGTCACTCTTCAACACAAGAGATCTGCACTGGCAGAACGAGACATTGCTGGCTAGTTAAGCAAGGCTACACTTGGAATTATGTCCCCATAAGCTGGAAATGCATGCACAATGTATGCTTGGAAGCCAGCCTGTGTTCCTTTAAATGTTGCTCTGGCTAGACCAGGGCAATCTGTTTCTCTTGATCCTTTACAAAAACCCACATGCATGTACCTCCTCTGCAATGCAGATATATTTTTCTTACTGAATTTGGTCCAGTACTGGAAAAGAAGAAAGCACCATCAGGCAAACAAGCTTCCTCCTGTGGTCTGCTTAAAGTTTTCTCAGTGGTTTTTACCTTCTGCATTGGTAGAATCCGGTCAGCTCTAAAGAAATGTTTAAATCCCTTTCTCACATGGGGTTGCTGTATGTTGTGTAAAATGCCAGGAAGGCTACACACCAGGTGACAAGGCACAAGTGCCATCTAATTCATCAGACCCAGATGGAAATGCCCTGTAAATCCCTTTGCAGGCAGTTACTATCCCAATTCAGGGAAATTATTTTCCATGGCAGCTGCAGTGATTTTCAAGCAAGCCTAAGTTTTTCCTTGAGGATATATTCATAAACTTTACATAGTTATGTGATCTTAAAAGTTGTACAATTTTGCTGGAACCCATAGACACGATCTTTACATATCCCTTTAAAAGTCGAACATGGCTCAAACTTCTGCAACATTTAAATTGCATTCAAGCAATGTTGGTAGCAGCTCATGATACACTGACATTTCCTTAGCTCCTACCTAGTCTATATAAAAGTTAAAGGCAGGGTTCCATGCTGCCACTTACTGATTTTTAAAAATGCTTTGGTTTTCACTAGTGAAGTACTATATTGCTTTTAATTCTTGGGAACTTTTTCCTAACAAAAAACCTTATAATTTTAGCACTAGGTGAGATATGCTTGTGAGGAAAGGGGAGAAAGCAAGAAATAACTATCTCCTCCTCCCTGTACTCATTATGGTAGAGGAAATTTGCCCATTACTGTGCGACCTGGCTCCTTTATACAAATTCACATTTTAGTCTGGACACAGACCAGGAAGTACTGTTGCCTTGCCCTCCAATGGGCACTGGTAGTCAAAGCCATTCAAGGAGCTTCCCTGTACAGTTGCCAGTGAGAAAGAGAGAGCCCCTCTGAGTTGCAGGCTGTGGTAAGGCTCCAGTAGAGTTAGCTGCACCTTCATTCTGGCCCAGGAAGTGTTGGTTCCTGACTGTGATGGTCATGAAATCCCTTGGTGTGTGCCTGCCCACTGCCAGTCATACTGGACCTTCTCTCTTCCAGGGCCATTGTTTCACCCATATGCCACAAGACTCCATGCATGCCTAGAGGTTGAGCAGCTGCACCCACAAGCAGGAAGATGTGGCCCAGATAATCATGACCTTTCTTCAGCCTACCCACCACTATTATCTATGAAATGACATGGAAGGGTTTTTAGTGATACTACAGATGCAAGGGGATTCCTTCCACGTGGGCTTCAGCTGCAGATACTGTAGCCTCTCTCTAGTCACGACTGTACAAGCCTTAGCCCTGGAAAACTACCCTATGAAGGCCAGGTGGTTTTCCATTTCTTGCAATCCATGCATTGAACAATTTCCAAAAGGAGCCTTCTGCTTTTTTATTTCCTTTCCCCTGCAGATTGGGAAGTCCTACAAATTTGTAAGACATGAAGGGATTCCCTTTTAAGGGGGGGGGGGTTGATGGAGCTTTCTTTTTACCTTCAGTTTCCACCAGCACAAAGAGAAAATTACTTGACAAATTATGCATCTTATAAAGACATAGTAACGTTGGGTTTCTTTTACACATTCTAGTTTAGCCACAAGTTTCTACAAATCACAGCTTTAGGATCCATAGCTCTGGCACAGAACTGTAAGCAATCAGTGAAGTAATATTACTAGATAGAACTGCCACTATCTGTGACTGCTTCTTCCATAGTACTTGGACCAGGAATAAGAACTGGATTATGGTTCCTTCTCCTCTGCTTGTACAGCTTACACTTTAGTTCTTTAGAAACAGCTGCTTAAGCATCCTGGATGATGACTGGGTTTATCTAAGAGACTCTTGACTGAATCATAAACAACTGAGCTGAGTTCCCCACTACTACTTTCACTGTAGCGTGTCCACCATGGCAAGCATGTCTGTCTAGTCAGAGAAACGGGCTCTGAGCACAAGATGGCTGCCCTACCTGATATAAAAGTGGCACACTAAGTGATCTATTGTAGTCTTCCATGATGCAACAGTCTTCCCTTTCCCCAACCTCAATTACTGTGTTCCATTCATTTTGCAGATTGAGAGGAAATGGGAGCAGCCAAAGACAGTAAGGAAGGAGAGAAGGATAACACTGCTGGGAACTATATCAGATAATAAGCGTGGTCTTTAAAATAATGTCCTTTAGTGGGAGAAGTAAAAAAAAAAAGATCGAGAGAGAAAGATCTGCTGACTACAATCCTGAGCCAAAACCTGGATGCTGAAAATAACCCAGCTGTGTTAGAACACCAGACTGAGAAGTTAACCACTTTAGGTTGAATGAAATTGTTGGCTGGCCTAAAAAAAAGAGAACTGAATCATTTCATGCTCTCTCTCTGGCTGAAAGTAAGACAGGAATAGTAACGTCTACCAAATGAAATCAAGATATGCTACAGCATGAATTCAAAAAGCTGCAATAAGTTCTTTTTGGCTCAGTTCAGACATCACATAAAACCAATTGTCGAAGAGTCCAGCTATATAGACACACTGTGCTCTAGAGCAGCTTGTCCAGTTGCTCAGTGCCATCTTTTCAGTGGTGCAGCTACTTACCTGTGACAGTTTATGGCAGAATTCTCAGGAATGCACATGGCATCTGGACTGCTTCTTTAGCTATAATTATATCGAAGAAACCAGCTTTTGTTGAAATTACTGATGTATGGCAAAATACTAACCTACCCAATAATAATAAATCCAGAGTAAGAAATGCAAAGGAATATACTTTGAATTTTAGGATGGGTAGGAATGAACAAACAGTAAAAGACCCATAATAGTCTTATAGCTAAGGGATATTAAAAGCAGCAAAACATGGGAAATCCCTATCTCTGTACTCTTCCTCCACAAGGAGGTGGTTTCCCTTCCTCCAAGACTCATTCTAGGAGGGCACTTATTCTGACATTTGAAGGAACGCAACCATTACTTGTGTAGTAGAGATGTGCTAGGAAATAACTAGTTTGTTTGAATGATGGGTAGAAGATTACCAACAGAAGTTGTGACTTATCTGCCTATTCTGGTAGGCTTTGCCACAAGGGTAACTGTGTTCTATCTGTGAATGAGGATCCAGCAAAAAGAAACAGGGCAGATCGGGTCTGAATGAGAGCTAAACATGCATATCCTGTTTTAATTTTTGTAGATTTGCTTTAAATGCAGAAAACTCTTGAAAGTTAAATGTTAAACCGGGATTCATAATGTGGGCAACTGTGTTAACTATGAACTTGATGAAAGACACTGAACTCCCAACCCGCAGGAACCTCCCAGACAACTAGTGTTACCTGCACTTTTTCTCCTAAATTTTAATATACAATAAGATGCTTCAGCATTACAGGAAGAGAAACAGCAGCTGAAATCTAAGATCTCAAGCTGACCAGAAAAGCACCTCAACTCAGTTACAGTTAAGATACATATATAAGAACAGCAGCAGATCTTAGGAGGCCATCCTGTTGGGACAGCTGAATTTATTGCAAGTGCTTACACAATCACAGTGCAAGGAAATAAAAACTAGATCTAAAAACAAGGCACCATTGAGCTGCATGTGCCAAGACAAAGAAATTCCACTCCCTTAATATGTAGAAATTAAACAAATGCTTGTTCTGCAGCATAGATCTGATACACCACCTGAGAATTTTTGCCACATTTATGCCTATTGGGGAAAATAAGAAGCAAGTTCTCATTAACAGAGACATTCAAGCTTCTCATTTAAGTATTTTGCATGATGTCATCTTGCTAGTTCTTGGCTGATATGGTAAGTTCTACAGGGATGAGAAGACAGAATTAGCACCACAACTGAGTTCCCTTGGAAGTGACTTTTCACACACAGCTTTTTCTTTTTTAAAGAAAGCAAACATTTTCAAGAGAGCACTTCTACATTCATCTGAACAGGCACATTTCTTAAAACCAAGGACATTTTCTGCCAAAAGGCGTTATCAAGCGGAACTGTGAACTTTAACCATTTGACTGCTTTCGTATTGCCCAGCAGTGACCACTTTAGGGAAATCTTGGCCAAAACATTATTTTCAGCACTAATCTTGGTAACAGCCCTGACAAGCCGTCTAGTGAAAAATGCTGCCCTGTGATTTAATGTTGCTGCAGTGTTCTTTTCTGTGAAATGTGTAGCTACTGCAACTTTATTCAGAAGGTGGGTACATTGGAGACAAAGCACCAACTCAGGTGGGAGGTGTGGGAGTGGCACTGCTGGAGGTGCTTGGGAGAGAATGTTGCTGGCTACCTGTGCTGATCCTGCCAGTGTGTCTGGCTTAGCAGCAACAGTGGGGCGGAGGGTTGCCACAGCTCCTGAGTAGACCATGAGTATTGGACACTAATCCAGCACAAGTTTACTTTAAAAGGCCTCAGTTTTAAAGCACCTTTGTATTATTACCTTCCTTTGAAACCGATGGTAGAGGGAACTGCATGACCACATAGCCATTTGCTTGGTGGCATAAACTGCATGCACAGCAAGATGCCTGCAGCCTTCAACCATGTGGCAATGCTTGATGTTCACAGAGTGAGTAGAGTATTACAAATATGCCAATAAAGGCTTTTTGTATTGTGTTACAAATTTATGGCTACCCAATCTCATTCTAGAGAACTGGGATGAACAGGAGGAGGAGGAGACAAGGAAAACCATTCCCACCCCATGAAAGCTACAGGGTGGGGGGCATCGCGTTTCAAGGTTTCCCTCAAAAATACAGTGGAAAACATTTTATGAAAGAGTGACTGTCACCCATAAAGAAAAAGAGATCTTTTCATGGTGTGAATAAAATAATTACATAGTACCTTGATAAAGAGATACATTTACTAACAGGCACTATCTGATTATGGGCAAACATCCAAGAAAAAAAAGCTCTTTTCCTTTTTGCCTCTTGCTTATGGCTGGACCATCTTCAAACCCATGACCTCTCTTGGGACTTGCTGACTTCCAGTTTACTTCAGATTCCCTTATGTGTTCAAGATCTAAATCAGTCTTGCAAGGAGACAGGTTTGCAATGGCACATGGATTCTTTACAGAACAACAAAACAACAAACAACAAAAAACACCTTTCACTCTGCTTAAAGTGATGTTTCATTGGTATGTGGTCTTGAGTTCTCCTCTTCTAGCAACGCAATTCTTTGTTTGAGCATTCTCACTTGTGTCTCATGCCTTTCAACCATAGCCATCATTTGAGACTCCAGTTTCTTCAGCTTGTTTTGATGCTTCTTCTTTGCTTTCTCATAGGCAGCCACAAGGTTACTGTTGGGGGTGGGGGGCCAGAATTAAAGGATCATTAGAGCATGTCTAAAAAGTATCCTAGCAACAGATTTCTGTTACAAAACTTTGAGCATCCTCCCATCCCACACAAGCATACAGTGCTTAAGAATGCAGAGAGATTCTTCTTCAGTGATTCTCTGGCATAAAGGTTGTCAGGAGAACTATCTCAATGCAGCACAAAGTGCCTTTTACTGGGGCAAGTACTTACCTGTTTGCTCTTTTCAAGTCATTAACAAACTCTGCAGACTGCTGGTGCCGGATTTCGCTGCTCTTTGTCAGTCTCTCTAAGGCACTCACCAATTCCTGTACTCTGGCTTTCAGTTTCTTTTCTCTGCACGAAGACAGAAAGCAAAAGACAGATATTCACAGTCCCATGTGAAGCTAGAACAACAAGCATCTTAACCAGTGGTGGATAAATCGATTGGAAGTTATAGGACCTCTTACACGTATTTCAGGAGCACCAGAACCACAAGTGCACTGCGCACTCCACACATTCCTTAACCCAGTTTCTGGAGAACTGAGGCTACATGTAGAGGGGTGATGGTGTGAACACCTTCTCAGTTATTTCTTGGCACTTATTTATTGAAGTCTTTATACCCTGACTTTCTTCCTTGCTCAAAGTGGCACAGAACGGAACAGGGCTGCAGTGGTACCCAGACTACTCATGTTCTGTAAGTATCAAGGTCAAAGTGAAACATACACAAGCAGACCTCCTGTATATAGATCATGAGCAATCTTGTGGTGGCTTAAGTAGGAAAATGGCAAGAAACCACCACTGCCCCAAACAATCAAAGCTCTGGTAAAGGTGATGTTGCTTCATGCATGGCGGTACATATTTCATACATCACTTTGTTGTAGGAAAAAGCAGATATGCAGCCCCACACAACTAATGTTTACATTTAGGTTGGATGGACACGAGAACTAAGAAAAGTATTCCCTTTTCTGCTGAAAACCAAGATCATAGATGTGGCAAGATAAGCAACCATGCTACAGAAAGGCTCCATGTGAATGCACATTGCTACTGCCAAGAAGCTGAGAGCAGAAGCATCTAACAGCACAATTTGACACTGACCCTTACACTGCACTGTAAAACATGAGCCACTTCTACAGATTCTATTCATTAGACTGCAGTCCTTGACAGACCTGTGGGTGGCAATATGTTACAACACCAGAAGGAGTTGTCCAACATTCCTCAGTTCAGCAGATTGCATTCAGCAACTAGAGACAACTGTGAGTTTTCAAAAGGTTTGTTGGAAATGCACTCAATTTTGTCATTAGCCAATTTATTGAATATGTACACTGAAGGCTCAAGCATACAGCGGTTTAAAATATACTTAATATATAGTTAAAGCTGATCCCAATTCAGTCAAGAAAGAGTGGTCAGCAGCCTTCAGTTAGGGAGCTGATAATGAAGCATAACAAGTACTTTTATGTGAAAACATGTTACAATGCACCAGATCATTTGCCACTTCAACCCAGAAGAGAATTTTTCTTCCTTAACACTATGTATAGCAGCCAAATTAATCCAGAAGACTGAAACCAAAATCTGCCCATTGACGTGTCTCCCCTACGGAAAAAACAAAAACAAAACCCTTTACAGACCAAAACTGCATCTAATGTACTCGAGTCAAGATCTATTATAATTAGGTGTTGTTTGCTTATGTGTTTTTATTAAATTATTTGCTAATTTTAAATGTTATCTTTAATTGTTCAAATTTTTCTTCTTTTTAATAATTTTTATTATAAGAAAGTTATTATAAACTAGGAATAAGGCCCGATGTGGAAATAAATACAACGAGCTCTAGGAAGAGCCTCTGAGTGGGTGTCCTGGCCTTGGCACTCAGCATCAATTCGCTCTGGTGACCTCAGCAAGGCATAATGACACAGAGCTTACCATTTTCTCCAGGGGAACTCATCTCTGCCATCTGAAGAACAGATTGGCAACAATGGTTCCCCAGGAGGAAAAGACAGGTTGCTTACCTGTAACTGATGATCTTTGAGTAGTCATCTGTACATTCACACCTCTGGGATATAGTGCGCCTGCGCCCACCTCGATCAGTACTTCTTAGACAGTGAAAGGGATTTTCACGCCCACTCCCCAGTCACGCGCCAGCCCCACTGTGCATGACTAGGGGAGGGGCACAACAATCCCGCCAGTTCCTTCTGACCGCTGCCATCAGTCTCAGAGCAAAGAACAAAAGGACCGAAAGCAGAGGGGAAGGAGAGCGGGTGATGTGAATGGACAGATGGCCACTCTAAGATCATCTGCTACAGGTAAGCAACCTGTCTATCTTCTTCATGGTCTCTGTGCATCACACCTCTGGGAGATTAACAAGGAAAAACAAGCCTACCTGGAGGAGGGAGCTGAAGGTCCTAGACGCACTGGGGACCCAAGAAGGAGGGAAGCAATCTCAGCAGGGTATAATTGACACGCAGTCCACCCCGCAAAGCAGCCATTTTCTCCAGGGGAACTGATCTCTACCATCTGGAGAGCAGTTTTAATTCTGAGTGATCTCCAGCCCTTACCTGGAGATTGGCAGCACTGGATTCCCCAGGAGGAAAAGTACAGTCTTTTTCCATAGTGGAGACCAAAGCAGCTTTCTCCTCTCCCCCTTTTGATCTGTACAACAACCCTGTGCGGTAGGTTAGGCTGTCAGTCAGGCTATTAGTTCATCTGAGGCTTGTTGTGGTGAAGACTACTAATAACTGGCAATGACGGGGCAAGGGACACCAGTGCTCCTGGGGAGGGGAAAGTATAGTAGTGGGACCAGGCAGGAATCGAAGGAAAGGGGGGGGAGAAATAGAGGAGCTTGACCCCCTTCCCGCCTGCGTCCCATCCCAAAGGTGGTGGGCTAGGACTAAAGAACTCACTCCGACATTGGTGCTGTGCAACGCCAGGTCCATAAATAATAAGACCACGGTCCTTCGGGACTTTCTGCTGGAGCAGGATGTGGACCGGGTGTGCATGACCAAGACTTGGGTTTGAGACGGGGAGACAGTAGCTCTCTCTCAGCTGGCTCCCCCCGGGGTCTCGGTCCTCCACCACTCCCGGATTAAGGGGTGGGGTGGAGGAGTGTTCATCGGGAAGGCTTACTCCTTCAGGGTGCTCCCACCACCGAAGCACACGGGCATCTAGTGCACTGGCTTGGTGTGGGAAGCCAGGGAGAATTTGGCTATTTTGTTAGTGTATTTTGTTAGTGTACCATTGACTTCAATAATCGCCTGTCATTCCTGGTGGAGGCTGTATCGGGCTGGACATTGGAGCACCCTAGACTGCTAGTCCTGGGTGACTTCAATGTCCATGCTGATGACCTGGCCTCCACACAGGTGATGGACCTGTGTCATCCATGGCGGCTCCAAGACTCGCCCAGTATGAAATGGCCCCCACTCACCAAGCAGAGCACATGCTTGATCTGATATTTGCGGTGGGGGTTAGAGTGGACTGGATTACTGCCATGGCAGTGCCATGGTCGGACCACTATGCCCTGAAAGCCTGTGTGAACGTTCCACCCTGACCCTGTTCAGGTGGCGAGCACATTTTGGCTCGCCCGTGAAGCCAAATAGATCCAATGCAGCTTCAGATGGATCTGCGGGATCCGATGCCCCCTGGTGGCTTGTTGGATGAGCTAGTGGAGAATTGGCACAGCCAACTCTTGGCAGCCATCAATGAGATCGCTCCCCGACACCCTCTGTGCCCTCGCTCTAGGCTGGCTCCTTGGTTCACCCAGGAGCTGCGGCTGGTGAAGCGAAGGCTTAGACAGCTAGAGAGACTGTGGCGGCATGCCTGTGACAGAGCCACAAGAGCTCCTATGAGATGGCAGTCAAAGCCCCTAAGAGAGAATATTATGCGGCCACGATTGCATCTGCGAGCTCACGCCCAGCCCAATTATTTAGAACAATTAGGTCCATAAGAACTCTGCTGCAGACCAGACCAAATGCTAAGGAATTGGATAAGGGCTGTGAGGCTTTTGTGAGCTATTTCACAGATAAAGTCTTGTCACTCCGATTAGGCGTACACTGATTGTTCAGCTAAATGTGTAGAGCAGAAGAACAGAAAGTGGCTTACTCCTTCCCGCTTCCATCATGCACTGCTAGCCATTGTTCAAGCATTCTAATGGCACTACAAAAACAATTCATAAAAATTCTTGTCTAAAGTATCCCTAATTTTTCCAGCAGGAGTTTCAAGCAAAAGACTGACAATTTTGTCAAATCATACTGTAGTTTAGTAGTCAGTGATGTGCACAGCTATTTCTCCGAACCAGAAATAAGGGCAGTTTGGCTGGTTTGTTAAAGTGGAAAATACCACCCTGGTTTGGAGAGCTTGAGAAGTTTCATAATTGCACAAATTTCTCTCTATATTGGCATATGGGCATTTCCACAAGCAGGTGTGTCACAGTGGTTAAAACCCTGGTGTCATCGGGAGGTCCACCAGTGGAGCCAGAACTCCAGAAGCCTTCCCACTGTGGCCCCCCAAGCACCACAAATACAGAGCATCACTGCCTCAGACATAGTTTTCCATCTATACCTTGTGGCTAATAGCCACTAATGGACCTCTGCCCCATATGTTTATCCAATCCCCTCTTGAAGCTGTCTATGCTTGTAGCTGCCACCACTTCTTGCAGCAGTGAATTCCATGTGTTAATTACTCTTTGGGTGAAGAAGTACTTCCTTTTATCCGTTCTTCACCTACTACTCGTCAATTTCATTCCGTACCCATGAGTTCTTGTATTGTGAGAAAGGGAGAAAAGTGCTTCTTTATCTTCTCTATTCCATGCATAATTTTGTAAACCTCTATTATGTCACCCCTAAATTGTTGTTTCTCCAAGATAAAGAGCCCTAACCTCTTTAACCTTTCTTCATAGGGAAAGTGTACCATCCCCTTAATCATTTCAGTTAACCTTTTCTGCATTTTTCCACATGCTATAATATCTTTTTTGAGGTGCAGTGACCAGAACTGTACACAGTATTCCAAATGAGGCTGCACCATCAATTTATAGAGGGGCATTATGATACTTGCTGATTTGTTTTCAATTTCCCTCCTAATAATCCCAGGATAGCATTTGCCTTTTTTATTGCAATTGCACACTGAGTTGACAGTTTCAGTGAGTTATCTGCCATGACTCCAAGATCTCTCTCCTGGTCAGTTACCTCTGGTTTGCACCCCATCAACATGTAATTATAGTTGGGATTTTTGGCTCCAATGTGCATTACTTTTCACTTGCCTACATTGAACCTCATTTGCCACATTGATGCCCACTCACCCAGCCTTGGTAGAGCTCTCTGGAGTGCCTCACAGTCCTCCCTGGTTTTCACTGCCCTGAACAACTTAAT